GGATGAGTATGGATGTGATGTGTGTGGGGGGGTGTGGTGTGTGGTGGGGTGTGTGTGTGGGGGGGTGGGGTGAGCATGGATGTCGAGTGTGTGTGTGTGTGTGTGTGTGGAGTGGGGTGAGTATGGATGTGATGTGTGTGGGGGGGTGTGGTGTGTGGTGGTGGTGTGTGTGTGTGTGTGTGATGGGGTGAGTATGGATGTTGGGGGTGTGTGTGTGTGGTGTGTGGTGGGATGTGTGTGTGTGTGTGTGTGGAGTGGGGTGAGTATGGATGTGATGTGTGGGGGGGTGTGGTGTGTGGTGGGGTGTGTGTGTGACACACACCGTGGTCGGAGCATCGCGTACTCACCCCACCCCCACACACACACCACACCGCGCCACACACAGTCCACGGTCCGATACTTCAGTCCTGTACAGGCACCGACACCACAGCTGGGACCGATCCTAGTACTCACGCCCACGCCCCCACACACACACCCCACCAGCAGGCACGCACACCCCGCACAGCATAGGCAGGTTCCGAGTAGCTCATCCTGTCACACACAAGCCCGACAAGCCACCCGCCCCGACCGCGACACGAAACCACAACGCCCCCCACGAGCAGATCACGCAGGTCCATAGCGTAGTCCGTGTCACGCAGCGACAGCGACCAGGCACAGCGCAGCGCCACACGGAGGGCCAGCACCCCCCACGACGGACGTCCACAGTGCATACTCATCCTGTCGCAGGGGACGACACACACGTGGGCGACGGACGACTCGGACGATGCCGTCGAGTGTACCCCCTCAGCGGCGGAGGCCGCCCCGTCGGGGAGAGAGCAGCGCGACGCGCGCGCCACCACGGACACGACCAGCCCCCCAGCAGCAGTGCCGGAGCGAATCCGCGGGAGTAACTCAGCCGGCGGCCGACGACGAGACCGAACAGACACACCACGCGGCACACCGACAGCCCCCGGCAGAGCGATCGCGATGACTCAGCCCCAGCCGCAGCACAGCGGACAGCGACACACCACGCACACACCAGCACCCCGCCCCCGCGAACGGAGTCACATGCCAGGTGACGTGCACGCGCCGGCCACCCAGCCACACACACACGCACACACCACCACAGCCCGCCCCAGCCGGGACACGGATCAGCATCCATACTGCATCCTGGGTCACACACACACAACGGGTGAGCGGGCAGGCACCAGGGGGAGCACTCACGACCCCCCCAGGCACAGTGGCCAGATGCGCATACTCAGCGCCCGAACTGCCACACGCACAACACGAGGGCAGTCCCCACGCCACACAGGCCACACACACACACCCCAACAGTCCAGTAGCGTTCACCGCCCAGCCGACACGACACACACACACCAGCAGAGCCACCACCGGACGGCAAGCACAGCCCGGCCCGACAGGCCACATCCGTAGCTCCCGCGGCCACGACAGACAGCACACCACACCACAGGCCGAGACAGCGCCGACTGCAGTACGCGTCACCGCGGCCACCACGACACAGCAGCGCCGCGCGCCAATTACCGGCATCCATAACGTCGACGGGGCCGAGTCGAGCGAGCACGCACACAGCCACACAGCCACAGGACGGACACCACACCCCGCGCCGCCGACACCGACCAGTCATTACGTGGAACGCCCGCGACACACACACAGCACCCACCCACCAGACACCGGACAGCCGACGCCGCAGTCGCCATTGTACCGGTCCCCCCACAGACACGACCCCCCCCACATACCATCATACTCACCCACCACACCACACACGCCGCACATACACAGTCGCAACTCACCCGCGACCACACACACCCCCCAATACCCATCCATACCTCACCTCATGCACACGCACAGCACGCCGCCACGAACACCAACATCCATACGGTCACCCCACCCAAGCCCGAGCCCCCCGCCAACGATGACCACAATCCACTCAGCCACGCCCAGCGACACCCCCCACAGTGCCACATCCATATCACGCACCACACCACACCGGGCGCAACCGATACCAGGCATCATACTCGACCTCATCACACACACCCCCACCACCACACCAACACTCATCCAATACTCACCCTCACCCCACCACACAAGCGGCCACCACACGACCACAGAGCCCGCCACCAAGTTGTTGTCCTGGATATCACGCGCCACCACACAGGCACATACACCCCGACCACACACACACTCCCAAGACATCCCACCGCATGACGTCACGCGCTACCGACGACACACACAGGCATGTGTGCGCCGGACACACGAGATGGGTATCACCCCGAGCGCCCCACCGACACGAGGCACACACGATGCGCGCGCACCACACATGCCGATAGCTACGCCCCACCACACACGATACGGACCGCACACAGACTCGCGATGACTCACCCCACCAGAGCACGGTCGTATACTCACCCACCCACACAGCACAGCCCCGCCCCCGGCAGCGGTTGGCGACAATGCCCGATTAGCTCACCCCACCCCACGCAACCCCGACCCCCCACACCGACTTACGCATCCCCTATGACGAACATCCGATCACCCACACGAACACCATACACCCCACGGGACACACACCACCCACACCACTGAGCACCCATATCGACCCACTCCACACACCACACACCGCGGGGTACCGCGCCGCACACAGCACTCCATACGTCGACCGCTTTAACCGAGCGACGACCAGCCACACAGAGTGCCAGTGACTCCCAGCCGGCCAGCACACAGCGGACACACGCCGCACACCAGTCCAGTACTCAGTGCTCGAGCCAGCGGCCAGGGCGGAGCAAGCGCGCCAGCCGACAGCCACTGGCAGACAC